AAAATTTAAAAAATTATTTTATCAAATATTGAGATTGAGTTTTCAAATTTTAAATTAAATATTTAATTTCTAAATATAAATTTAAACTTTACTTAAACTTTTCTAACAGTACCCCTCCTGGGAACCGAACAGTAGCAAACGTTTCGTAAATACTGTTTCTGGTGCCTTGCGGAAGTACTTACGCTTCGGACGAACTCATGACCCGATACCCATAAATCTTTCAAGCAGAAAGACTTGTTTCTTCAGCTAGATTCTCCCTCAAATTCATCAATGAAAGAACCAGAGAAGACTCTAGTCGAGGAGAGGGAGGAGTTCATGGTTTCACCCACAGGTGAAAACCCTACTTCCAGAACAGCCCACTTCGTCAAACCCACCTTCGGCTTCGGTGATACACCTCTCCCGGAGCTTCCTTCAAGCTGTGTGTCCCCCGTGAAATCCTCACTTGAGCCTCAAAATTTGCCCTTGAGTGTCAGTTTTCATGGGTGGAGATCCAGGCCGGCGGGGTGGACTGCGTGGGTTGAAAAGATGGCAGCTTTGCACGAACCTACATGGAAAAAAGCCGGTATTCACGAAGCAATCCGGAATTCGACATATCAAATTAAGAGGAACACTGGTTTTCTTCTTTGGGTTGCCGAGAAATGGTGCTGTGATACGAAAAGTTTCGTCTTTTCTTGGGGGGAAGCTACGGTTACCCTTGAGGATATGATGATTTTGGGGGGTTACTCTGTTTTGGGGTCCCCTGTTTTCCTGCCGCTCGAAAGTTCGAATCTGAAGGTGATCGAAGAGAGTTTGAAGGCCTCGCGGATTGAAATCGTGAGGAGTAAGGCAAAGAAGGCGTGCCCTCGCCTGTGGATGAAGATGTTCATGGACACTGGGAGTGAATTCGAGCATGAAGCATTCCTAGTGTTTTGGTTGTCAAGGTATGTTTTCACCAATGCGCATGAAACCATTAGGGAGCACGTGTTCCCTATTGCAATTCATTTAGCAAGAGGAACTAGAATAGCCCTAGCACCTGCTGTTCTTGCTAGCATTTATAGAGACTTGTGCTTGTTGAGAGATGGAATAAGTGCTTCAGCTAAATTAGGTAAAGAAGAGGTCCTTACACTTACTCTTTGGTCACCATTTCAATTAGTCCAAGCTTGGATTTGGGAAAGATTTGTAGATGTAAGGCCAACCCCGAACTCAATAGAAACTGGTCAGCCAAGATTGGCTCGGTGGCATGATGTCAATTCCAAGGTTGAGGATGTAATGCTGGCTCTAGACTCAGCTGGGGGGAGCTTTAAATGGCGTCCTTATGCTACACCAATTGAAAATTGGAAATTCCCTAAGTTTTATAGAGAAAAAGAAGCTTGGATGTCAGTTAATACTCGTACAGACAAAGAGCTGGAGTCCTTTACTAGATGCTTGAGGGCCACTGAGCTAGTGGGACTTGACTGTTTAGAACAGTACCTTCCGCACCGAGTTGCAATGCAATTTGGGATGGACCAAGATATTCCTGGTCATGTTGCTCGATCCATTGAGACCCCAGAAATTGCCTGGAGCAATTACAATGAACCAATCAATAACGGGAAACAGTATATTCCATCTCGGCTTTCCAAAGAAGGTGTTACTAACCGGTACTTTGAGTGGTGGAAGCGTTCACTGAAGGAGTTGAAGGATGCAAATAAGAGTGTTGGGAGACCCAAAAGAAGTTTGAAGAGCTCTAAGACGTCACCTATGACTTCCAAACAAAGGAAGCAAGGAAACCCTCCTACTTGTACTGGTTTTCATCAGAATAGATCAATAATGGTAGTTGGGAGTCCTGAAAGAAATATAGAAAAGAAGGATGCCCCTCAGAGTGTAAGAAGAAATAAAAAGGGCGCCACTCCTGCTGATACCAACTTTTCACTTAAATCAAAAAGCATGGAACAGATTTTGAATTACAATGATGTTGTTCTTCCTAGTTCTCATGGAGAAGTTCCAAAAAAATTAGCAGATAATTTGAAAGCAAAGAAGAAAAGTGAGAAGGAATCTGCTGCTCCTGGTTTTCCTTTGGGAAGTTCAAAAGGATCAGCACAAACTTCGAAAAGAAAGAAAGAAGGCAACAATGAGTTTGCTTCTGCTGGTTTGTATCCAAAGCGTCCAAAAAAATCAGAAGTGAATCAGAAATCCTTAAAAGAATCAGCAGGTTCCCAGGATTTACCTCTGAGGAAATCAAAAAGACTGCAGCAGAAAGTAAAACTTAATAAGGGGAGCAATTCCTCTGCTCCTATTGACAGGGAGGAAGCAAGGGGTTCTCCAGAGGATCAAAACCAGACAATTGCAGGCATGTCAAGATCTTGTAAGAAACGGGGCCATGCCAAAACTAGAGATAAAGTGGATAAAAATTCACCAGGTTATTCTCAATGTCTCCCGTCAACAATTGCAGATAATAGGGGTGTTAATTGTTTAGAGCCATTAGCAATATTGGCACAAAAGGTTATGGAGGATGAAGCTGCACAGAGAGCTGAAGAAGTTGCAAATGGGGATAAGAGAAAACTATCAAAGGTCCATGATGAAACGTTGTTGGGAGGATCAGATAAAGGTGTGGAGGACAATACAAAAAGTCCAGCTGATCGCCAAATGGTTAGCATCAATGGCCAGAAAGAGGGTACCAGCGCTGCAATTGATACATTGGGATTATCACTTGAAGCTCGGATTAGCAGGCTCGAGAGAATGTTTGCGGAGCTGAAAGCAGCCAGATTTGACAACAAATAATAACTCCAACCAGTCCTAAAACCCCATCTATTTCTGATAATTTGCTCTTGTTTATTGCCCTTATGTTGTAGTTCTGGAATGTTGTTTCTAGTTTAGTTATGTTATACCTTGGTATCCTCAGTTGGATCCATTACCCCACAGTTTAAGCTTTGAGAATAAATGACAATCTTATGTACCCATTAGCATCAAAATGTACTGAATTCGTTTGTCTCCATTTGCTTTATATACTTCATTACAGAGGTTTTATGTGATGTATCAATCTGGTTCTCTTTGGTAAACCATTATAAGATTTTCAATTTCTTTGGTGGGTCTATATTCTGTGAAAACCTCATTTTGCTATGAAATTTTGATGGAAATGCCAAATTTTTTTTTAACCTAGTTGGAGGAATTTGCTGCAAGTGCTTCTACTTATTCAGAATCCGAACTTCTCTCTAGAAATATTTAGAAAACATAAACTATTTCGCCTCAGCCTTCATTTAAGTGACAGTTTCAGAAAATAAATCATCTTTCCAAGACAGATTATAGGGTTGGTAGGATAATTCAAGCGCAACTTCCTTATGCAAAGCAGTGCCAATTCATTTACTTTAAAGAGGCATTAGGGAAGTAGAGAAGACTCTCTCCTTCATATGGGTCTTCTGCTTTCTGTCCATTTGGGATAAAGATGAGTGACAAATTCAGAAACTTGGCTTCAGAAGATACTTCAGATTATTGTACCCTAACTGAAAGACAAGATAACCCTGTAAATTGGATACCCAAAGGATTTCAAGTTGGCTAGGAACTTTTATTATTATTATTATTATTTTAATACATCAAATAATAGACTATATAACAGAGGACACTTATTCTAAAATTTCAACTGAAAATCTCTAAATAAATATTCAAACTTTTAACCTCTAATAAGTCCTCTAAGAAAGACTTAGTTAAGGACTTGATATAAGATGTGTCACATGTATCTTTGAATTTAAAATGACCCATCATTTTTTTCACTACTCCCCCTAATCAGCCCATAAAGAGGAAGCATCATATCATATATTCCTCGAATCATGCATTATTTACTATACATTTTAATTAGGATTACTGTGTTAACCCAGATATTGGGAAACAAGAGATCTTGTGGGTTTGAAGAAACACGGAAACAGAAGATATTTATGCTTTATATTGTTTATGTCCTTTTCATCTTTACATAATGATAACTTTAGCAATTTCCAACCTTTTTTTAATAAAGTATTAGCATTTGATTAAAACCCTATTATCTAAAATAGAATGATGATTAAGCCGGCCGGTTGGGTAGGCGAAGTAACAAGGATGGAGGCGAATATTCATACATCACAAGTTGGAAATTCTCCATTACAATTGGTGAGGTCAATTCTAATTAGTCATGTTGATCACAATTAACAGCATATGTGTTCTTAGAAAAAAATTAAAAAAATAAAAAGAAAGAAGAAGAAGAAGGTTATATGTGAAGAGAAAAACGTGCATCAGATGAACTTATAAAAAAATTTTTAAAAATTTTTAATTTATGTTGTTTTAATAAATTTTTATTAAAAAATTAAAATAACTCAAGTTTTAAAATGAAGATAATACTATTTATCTTTTTTTTTTATAATACCTTATTAAAATTATATAGTTATAAAGTGCTTCTTTAATTAATTTTTTATAAATCATGAGTGAATGTATGATTTATGATATTCTTAAGGATAGTTGGACTAAAGAACCGAATGTTTTTCCCATAAAAAGAAAAACAAAAAAAAAAGAGAGCAAAATGTTTTTTAAAAGGGAAATGATTTTTGGATAATCTTTTTATATTATTTTTTTATACAACTTAACATATCATTTAAATTGTTAATTTATATGAAACCCATAATATTAAATACATCTACTTATTTAATGGCATATAAAAATTATATTAAAAGATAATATATAAAATTGTCCCTATAAATCACCATTTTTAAAAAGGACGATTATCATATTGAATTGGCTTATTGTATTATAGAGTCATTTCCAGGTGAATTTCAGTTGCAAGATTTTGTATGACTATAGGTTGTTTTATTTGTTATGAACTTTATAGACAAACAGAATCTAATCAAATCATATCAATTTTTAAATGGAAAACTCATTACCATTGTTAACAAAAAAACATAATAGAGATCAACGGTTAAGGTGACATTAAGATTTTAATTTCTTAAAATTAGCAAGAAGATCTCAATAACATGCAACATCTGGAAGTTGATTTCAATCTCTTCCTAACCAAAAAATGAAAGAATAACAGATTATTTAATTTCGAGAGAAAAAAAGAGATTATTTAATGGATAGTTTATTTAACATCAGAAAATCTCAAAAAAAATATTTAATATATGTTGTTTAAATAAAATATTTATTAGTTAGATTTTGAAAAAAATTAAGAGAAAAGCACTAAAAACCACCTTATTTGATTAAACTCTAATTGAAAAAAATTCAAATAACTTATTTTTAAATTAAAAATGAGTTTGTTTTCATCATTTTTATGATGTTTTAATGAAATCACAATTTTTGGTGTTTTTCTTTTAATTTATTTGAATTTAATCTAATGAACATCGATTTTGTATATTTTTTATGGATAAAGTTATGTCACATCTGAAATTATAAAATAATATTTTTACTCATGATTTAGAAATAGTTTTTTTCCTTCCCAAAACTGCCCCTCTCTACCCTTCTTAACCTTCAACCGTTGTAGCCCAACCCGTCTTTCCATTTTGATTTTTTTGAGCCATCGAAAAGAGCAATAAGATTGTTAACTAGTTTAGTAGCTCATTAGTGGTTCATAAGTTACGTGAATTAATTTTGATTTAAGTTTAATTTGGTGAATAAATAAGTTGAGTTTGAATTTAATATCAAGTTCAATAAATAAAATAAATTTTTTTATTTTGGTTGTACAATGAAAAATAATTATTTTTTATCTCTTATTTCATCTTATTCGCATGTTATGTGATTCGAATTCAGAATCTTTTATTTTTAATGGAAGGAGATGATCGCTGAATTATTTAAGTAGTTGGCAATAAATAAAATAAACTTAAACTCAAATTTTCATAGTTATTTATGGATTATTTGTGAGTGTTTAGTTTATAATTAAAAATTATATTATATTTACTTATAAGAAAAGTGCATATTGATTTGATTCTTAAAAAAAATT